GCTTTGTTCTTCATAGCTTATTCGCGTTGCGTCTTTCTAAAGTTACTTATTCAGGAATAAGTTATTAAGGAATAGACTATTTAGGAATAGCACTTCTTATTACTAAATAATGATTTTCAAATCAATGCTTACATAACTCTATTCTGATATAAAAATCTTACTTATTTCATGTCTAGTCTTTCTTACACATCTGCTTCTATTTTATTTTGAAATATGCCTAATACATTGTGCTCTGTTTCACACGAGTAAAATAGGGGTTAATTGAAGCTCTTATAGTTTATTATCCTTTCCTCTTCTGAGAGTAATACGTATTCTCTGATTTATCTAGAATCATTCGAAACATGTTTCTGGGTTCATCTGAACTTAGCTCAATTTTATTAAAAAAATCTTTATTCCCAAATAGCTTTGTTCTTTCAAAAAAGCCTCACATCAATTCTAGGCAGTTGAATAAGGTTACAGTAAAGAACAAGTATCCACTGCCTCATATCAATGATCTCTTAAATCATTTGGTTGGTGTCACAATTATCTCTAAGATTGATTTACATTCTAGGTACCACTAGCTGAGGGTTAGTGAGAAGGATGTGGTAAAGACGGCTTTCAGGACTCAATATGGCCATTATGGGTTCTTGGTTATGCCATTCGGGTTGACAAATGTGCTTATAGTTTTCATAGACTATATAAACTACATCTTTTATCCTTTCTTGGATTAGTTTGTGGTGGTTTTTATTGATGATATCTTGATCTACTCTAAAGATGAAGAGCAATATGCCAGAAACTTGAGGATCGTCTTAAGGTTTTTGTGAGATCATAAGCTATATGCCAAGCTCAGTAAGTACGAGTTGTGGATGAGAGAGATTAGATTCTTGGGACATATCGCATCAGTAAATGGTATTATGGTTGATCTGCATAAGGTTAAAGTAGTCTTGCAATGGAAGAGACCAAAATTGATTATAGAGATCCATAGTTTCCTAGGCTTAACAGGTTACTATTGGCATTTTATCAAGGGTTTTTCTTAGATTTTGATGCCTTTGACTAGCTCACGAGGAAGGATAGGCTGTTTATTTAGGATGATAGGTGCAAGATAGCTTTTCTTAAGTGGAAAGAAAGGTTAACGATAACTCCAATGTTAGTGATTCTAGATCCTCAAAAGCCTTATGATGTGCACACTAATGCCTCTCATAAGGGTCTTGGTTGTGTTCTAATATAAGATGAGAGGGCAGTGGCATATGCATCTCGACAGCTTAGGCCATATGAGGAGAATTATCTGACACATGATCTTGAGTTGCCACGCCATTATCTTTATAGCATAGTGTTTAAGGTCTTGAGTGACCATAAAAGTCTCAAGTACCTGGTGGATTAAAAAGAGCTAAATATAAGACAAAGGCGCTATATGAAGTTTCTTAAGGATTATAATTTTGAATTTAAGTATCATCCAAGGAAAGCAAATGTGGTAGTAAATGCTCTTAGTTGCAAGACCTTACATGTGGCTTATTTAATGATTTGGGAGCATAGATTGATAGAGTCTTTGGTTGAGACTTCTTTGGGCATGACTAAGTTTTCCTTGAATGGTCTTAAGACTACGGTTATTTCCAATGAATTTTGTAAAGATATATGAGATGCTCAGCTTTAAGATTCAATTTTGTTAAAAATAAGTCAAGACATCGCGAATGGTGAGACAATAGATTATTAGTTTAGTGATAATGGTTATGTGGTTTTCAAGGATAGGGTATGTGTTCCTAACAACGAGTCTATTTAGAAGCAATTATTGGATAAGGCACATCATAGTAGCTACACCCTTCATCCTAGTGCTATTAAGATGTATCATGACATGCAGCGTCACTGGTAGTGGCTAGGCATGGAAAAGAATGTCATAAAGTATGTTAGTAAGTGTTTAACCTGTCAGACGGTCAAGGTAGAGCACCAGAGACCATCAGGGTTGTTACAGCCTTTGGAGATTTCCAAATAAAAATGGGACAGTATTTTAATAGATTTGTATTTGGTCTGCTGAGAACCCAAGCTAGTTTTGACTCTATCTGGGTGATTGTAGATTGTGTTTACTAAGTCAACACACTTCTTACTAGTCAAGACCATCTATATAGTTGATAAGTATGCTGAGATCTATATTAATGAGATTGCGCAATTACATGGTATTTGAGGGATATTGTTTCAGACCGTGATTCTCGATCTACATCAAATTTATCACAGGCTATGCAAAGGGCTATAGCCATGGATTTGAAGTTTAGTACATCTTATCATTCATAAATGAATGGATAAACTAAGCAGATGATCCAGACATTAGAAGATATGTTGAGATTGTGTGCCCTAGAGCTTTAGGGAAGCTGGGACAAGCATTTAGCTCTAGTAGAGTTTGCTTATAATAATAGGTATCACACCAGTATTCAGATGGCTCCTTATGAAGCATTGTATGAAAGACGGTGTAAATCACCTCTCTGTTAGTATGAAGAAATGGTTGGATATCAGATGAAGAAATGGTATACTCTAAAATTTAGTCTGGAGGTGCTGTCACAATAGCTATTTAATGTTGTCATGATAGCAACAGTTGCTGAAGTTGCAACATGTATGAATTTCAATCCATCTATTGGATCTTTTCAAAATTTGGTATAATAGGAGTACTCTTTGAATTTGACATGTGGGATCTAGAATCACTTCGATTAGAGGTTAGATGAGAAAATGTTGCACTTGAAAATTGGTCTGGAGGTGCTATCATGATAGCAAAAATGTCTAAACTTGTAACGTGTCTAAATTTTAACTGAACAATTAGATCTTTTTGAAATTTAAAAACTATTAGTACTTATTAAAAGTGATGTGTGAGCTTTGAAATCACTTCAATTGGGGGCCAGATGGTGAATCAATACCTCCTAAAAGTTTTCCTGAGAGGGCTATCATGACAGCAAATTAATGCTATCATGACAACAATTAATTGCTCTTGTTTATCCAATTTGCTTCTGTGCACTATATAGTAATCCTTCAAAAATTTTAAGAGGTTTGAAATGTTTGTTTTGCTATTGTATAGATTGTTTAGTAATTTAAATGGTTTGTTTCTTAAGTTGGTTTTAGGATCAACCCCTTAATCACACTTAGTTTATTTGGTTGTAGTGTGCTTTTATTAATACTCGGGACAAGTGTTACATTCAATCTCAAAACAAAAGTTACAGAGGAATCTATACATGTTGTATTACATGAAAATCCAACAAAGAAGGATAACTCTGATATGGATGAGTTAACTAAGATGATGGATAATCTGCAGATTTAAATCTTAAAAACTTCCAGAAGCAATTGAGAAAGTAGAAACTCCACCTGAGAAAGAAGAAGAGTCTATGCAACTAACGCCTTGGAGGAATAATAAGAATCATCCTTTTAATTATGTCATTAGATAAATAAGTGAAGCAATGCGTACATGGAGTCATCTTCAAAATATAACTGGTCACTCAGCCTTCGTATCAAAGATTGAACCTAAAACTATTGAAGAAGCTATATTCAACTCCTATTAGATAGATGCTATGTCAGAGGAACTCAATCTATTCGAATGAAGTTAAGTTTGGAATTTAGTACCAAGACCTAAAGATCATCCAGTTATTAGAACCAAGTGGGTCTTTAAAAATAAACTTGATGAAGGAGGAATTATTGTTAGAAATAAGGAAAGATTGATAGCTAAAGGATACAGTCAAGAAGAAGGCATTAATTATGAAAAAACATTTGCTCCTGTTGAAAGATTAAAAGCAATTCATCTTCTCCTTGCCTATGCTACTATGAAGGATATTAAGCCCTACTAGATGGGCATGAAAAGTATATTTCTAAATGGATACATCCTTAAAGAAGTGTATGTTGAACAACTACCTAATTTTGAAGATTCTCAAAATCCTTATGCTGTCTTCAAGCTCAAAAAGGCACTATATGGACTCAAACCAAGAGTATGGTATGATCAATTGAACTCTTTTTCACCAAGAGTATGGTATGATAAATTGAACTCTTTTCTTTTGGAAAAAGAGTTCAATTAAGGTAAAGTAGATACTACCTTGTTCATTAAGAAAAAAGAAAGAACATTTTCTTTTTGTAGAAATTCATGCAAATGATATAATATTCAGTGCTACTAACCATTCCTTGTGTAAGGAATTTTCTAAGTTAATGCAGGGTAAATTTGAAATGTCAATGATAGGAGAACTAAACTTCTTCTTGGGTCTCCAAATTAAAAAAAAAAAGGATGGTATTTTCATGTATCAAATAAAGCATTTAAAGGAGATGCTCAAAAAGTTCAGAATATCAAGCAGATAGAATAGAGACTCCCATGACTTCATCTATTAAAATGGATGAGGATGCAGCTGGAATAGAGTATGATTGCAAATTATATAGAGGGATGATAGGATCACTACTATATCTCACAGCAAGTTGACTTGATATTTCCTTCAGCTTAGGTCTCTATGCTAGATTTCAATATGCTTTAAAAGAATCTCATGTGATAGCTGTAAAGAGAATATTCAAATATCTCAAGGATATTAATACATTAAGACTCTGGTATCCTAAAGGAGGAAGTGAGTTCTTGATTGGATACTCTAACATAGATTTTGGAGGATGTAAAATAGAGAGAAAGAACACAAGTGGGATTTGTCATTTATTTAGTGGCTCACTTGTATCTTGGGCAAGCAAGAAACAAAACACTATTTCCTTGTCATCAATTGAATAAGAGTATATTATTGCTAGATTATGTTGTTTACAAATCCTTTAGATGAAGCAACAACTTGAAGATTTTGGTGTAATGACCCTAAATTTTAAATTGAGCAAAATTTCTCTCCCAAGGGATATTTTATTTAAATAAGTTTTTTTAGCAAGTTTGATTTTATTTTATTTTTAATTATAAGAAAATTTTTTGCTCTTTTTGGTAATTTTCTTGTGTCCTTTCTTGTGATTTTCTCTTGCTCTTTCTTGTAATTTTTTCAAAAATTCTTTGATCATATTTTATATCTTGTGTGAATGGAAAACAGAGCATTCTTGTCTCTTATAGTCACCGATCTTAAACTTCTTTTCTCTCATCACTATCGAGCGTTTCCTCCTCACCTTCGAGTTGTCTCCTCACTGCCAGCTGTTTGTCATTCAATTTCATCAGCTGTTCGTCCATTTCTGTTGAGTGGTATCACTGAATCTCTCCTCTGTTTCTTCGCTGCTATGTGCTAACAGAGGTGTATGCGTGTTCATATCATTTCTTTTCTTCTCCTCAGCAGCTGGACATCGGTGTGTGCGTACATAGTAAGCTCAATCTCTTTTTTTTTTTGCTGATATGAAAATTTTTCTTCTCTTCTTTCTACTCAGTTATTTACAGTAGTAAGGTTGAGTCACTAAATATCCTCCTCTGTCATCGTCCCTTACTCTGTCCAAGGGAAGTAAGTAGTTTCAGATCTTCTAGCATCACTGTCGTCTTCTAGCTTTTCTATTAAAATTTCATAGCTGGACGTGTTGAAGTCATTGGACTTTCTCTCCTTTAATTGCTGTTTTTTTTGTTTTCCTTTGCTTAGTGACCGATGGTGGTGCTTGTTTGTGCTTAAAGTGTTGATTTATTGTTCTTCCTTTGTTGCTAGCATCGCGTGTGTGTGCGTGTTGCAACATTTTTGAAGTTTCAATTCTTCTCTTGAACATTATTTATATCATGGTTGTTGGAAAAAATGAAATAAAAATAATAAAAATAAGCTTGAAATTTATATTGAATGGCTTAGAATTTGCAAGCTAAATTAGCTTTGTTTGGATTGGTTGATCTTGAAAAATTGGATAGAATGAAATTGAGATAGAGGAACTCAAACATGAAGATTGGAGATTAATGCCTATGAGATGTTTGTTAAAATACTTATTAGAAGATATTGAGCTTGCTTTTGAATATTTTTAACATTTTATTTATTCTCATGGGAAGTATAGTTAGCTTAGATGTTATTAATCTGTGAATTTAACTTGAAAGCTGCAAAGGAGATTAGACTGTGAAATAATTAATATATGAGGGTGTGGAAGAATTATGGATAGTACTCAAAAATCTATACAGGCAATGATACATCTACTAGTAATAGATTTAAAATAGTGGTTAGAACCTTAGGAAACCTAAAGTAGTTGATATTAAATTTAATATTAGGTTATGGTACTTCGTTAACATTAAGGAGGCATAAATAAATTGGAATATTTCTCTTGCTCTTGCTAGATTATGATTAAGTTACTAATTTGATAATAAAATTGTTGGTTGTGTATGTTTAATTGAAATATTATTTGGGATCAAGTCATATCCCAATAATGAGTTAAGAGAATTCTTGGCTAGTAAAATTAAGAGTGTAGAGAGAATTTATTTGAGGTAAAGATAACTTGTTATTTGTTAGAAATTAGGATGTTAAATATCATCTTAGTTATGTTAAGGAAATAATAAATAATTGATTTTAGGTTGTGATTTGCTTGCTAGGAAGTTAATGGCACCATTATAATTAAGGTGAGAAGTTGAAGTGAACAAGCTTTAAAATTTTGAGAAACTCTTACATGAGTGGGTGGCATTCTAAATATATTTTTAGTAAAGTATTTATAAAAAAATTTCTTTATTTAAATATTCTTATTATTGCTTTTTAAATTGTTTACATATTCTTGTTAATCCTATTTTCATATTAATAGTATTATTTCTCATAAGTTGTTTAATTATTTAATATCACGTTGATATAAAATTTTTATTGCAATGATTTGTGCATGAAGGAAATGATGATAATTTTGGGCAATAGAAAATAATAGTTGAATAATATTTGAAAGTGAGAATTTTGAAACTATTTTCTTTCTCCATACACACTTGATTTTAATGAGGGAGACCGATTTTAGAATGCTAGATGCTAACGGTAGTTTTGTTAGCCCTTAGTGCGCTGCCATGGTACACCTAGCTAACAGGGTGCTTGTGGGAGATGCTAGTCCTATGCACAGGCAACATATATGGAATAGAGAGACGGTTATTCGTGAGAATTGTACTCACACTTGTTTTCATGGGCTTCGTGCCTACGCTTGATTCGTGGCTTCTGCCATGCTTGTTTCGTGGCTTTCAATAGCGCTTGATTGGTTACTTACCCTAGTGGACTGTGTGTCCACGCTTGGTTAGTTATCCCTGTGGACTATGTGTCCATGCTTGCTATTCATTCTAATAAAGCTTTCCTAGATCTAAACTTAAAATTCATTATTTTTATATTATTTCTTTAAAAGCATTCTACCTACCATTGCTTGAAATTTTTATATTCTATGAACATTATAAATTTTGATAAATTACTTTGTCTTATTAACATTGCTCAAATTCATGATTGTATTATTGAGAAAACTTGTTGTCTATTATTATTAGTTTAAGTTCATGTTTTATTATTTCAAAATTTTTAAATTAAATTTATTCATTAATGTCTTCATATATTTATATACATGTATATAATTGGAACGTTACTCACTAGTAATTTCTTTGGTCTCAAATAATGTAACTAACTTTATGCCTTCAGCAAATCATTGAGAGGCCTTTTGTTTTTCTAGAAAAGAGGAGGCATATTGTGATTATTATTTTAGTAAAACTATGTTTTGTATTTTATAATCATAACTTAATGCTCCACGTACATCGTAGTTAGATCCTAGACTTATTTAGTCACTATGTAAATTGCTGGAATGGAGCAAGTCTCCTTGTTGGGTTATTAGCAGGTTTTGTTGTTGTTGTGAAAAATTTTGGAGATCTAAATTATAGAGGAGGCTCTGCTAAAATTTTTACAAAACACTTAAAACTTTACAAACTTTATTACTATATTTAACTTACATATATCAATATTTTAGATTAGTTCCTGATCAATCAAGGCTTATGGGATATGAGTTCACTTTATATTTCATGCTGATCACACCCTTAGTATTGGGGTGTGACATTTAGGGTTAAACTCAAAGAAATTCCAATCAAGTGTGACAATACAAGAATAGTATGCTTGACAAAGAATCTAGTACATCATTTTAGAACCAAGCATATTGATACCAGACATCACTTCATTAAAGATCATGTACAAAAGAAAAATATGATTGTTGAGTTCATCCCTACTGATTTTCAACTTGCAAACATCCTCACCAAACCATAGGCAACTAATTAATTTGTATACATAAGCAGAGAATTGGGTTTGCTAAATCCCAATGAGCTATAAGTGTTTCTATTCTAAGTTATGATTATATTTTTCAATGAAAAATCATCTAACGTAAGATGTTTTTTAAGGATCTCCTTTGAACTTATTTGGGTATAAGAGTTGGTATAAAACTTATTATATCAAGATTAACCAGTTTATGAGTAAATATAGGATCAAAATCCTTATTTCTTACATCTTTAGGAATAGTGGTGACTATTCCAAAATAAATCATTTATTCTGGAATCAAGAAGATAGCAGGAAACTTGCTCGGAAAGAAATTGATTCGGAATAGCACATTCAATGTGAAACAAAGTGTGCTATTCTGGAATAAGAGTGTCTATTCTAGAATAAGCTATTTATGAAGAAGTCATATCACTTTGTAATAAAGTTTAATGTGAGATAAGATTTTAAATACAGGCTAGTTCAACCATATCCTAGGCCCAAAACTTATGACTATTTTCCCACCAAAACAAATTCTTTTTTATTTTATGAAAAACAAAGTTAGACATAGTAAACCTACATGTATCACAACCTATCCTACAACAGGAAAGAAAACAAACACAAAATTATGTGAAATTAATAACATAGTCCATAACAACTAACGAGATATTATCAAATATTTAATTTGAAATTAAAAAAATTAAAAGATAATAAATAGGATGAATAGTGAAAAAGAATTTAAGTAAATAAAGAATGATGAGGAGAGAGAAAATATAGAAGTTAAAATAAATAGGAGAGAAAGTAACAAAAGAATTATATCATTAAGTTTTGGGCAACAAAATTTTAGGAATGACTTCAACTTTACTTGAGTTATTGAATTTGTCATATAACAATTTGTCATGTGTGTTTTAGATTATTTTTAATATATATATAATTGTCTTTGTTCTATGTACTAGTCTATTTGATTTGCTGGATTTAATCCTCCAAGGATCATGTGGAGAACCTAGGTCATTTGTCTGGATCGTTTTCTTTTGTCTATATTTTGATATTTCTATGCATGTTCTTTGTCTTTGAAAGACTTTTTATATTTTTTTTTAAGAAAACAACTGTCATAATTTTTTTTGCTATAATCGTTAATTAAAATGGATCTAAAGGCTCATCAATCTTTCAAAGTAATTGTAATATTTGTATATTGTATTAAAAATATTACATTTTTTTATAAATTCATTCTGTCATAAAAATGTTATTACCTGTCAATTTTTGTGTTTCTAGGTTTTATACCCAAGGAAATAGGAAATCCTGTTAAAATTGAAGTCTTAGATTTGGGATCAAATCACTTGAGTGGACCCATTACTTTCAATGGGACGTCATTGGCATATATACTCCTTGAAGACAACTTATTTACAGGTATGCTTATTCTTTATTGTTTGCAAAATTTTTAATTTTATACTTTAACAAACTTTTCATTTATTATTTACGCTTATTCTATATTGTTTGTAAAATTGTTATCTGAAATTCTTTTAAAAATAAAAATTACAGTATACTTGATATGTTTAACAGAATCCAATTTTCTAAACCAATAACCTTGAATTTTTACGTCATTAAAAGTTGTTACACGTGCAGGCTTCTGCCAAAAAAAGTCAATTTATTTATTTTATATATAGGAGGGTGTCGCCCAAAAAAAAATACTTATATTCTATAAACTATTTCCACAATCTGCAACTAAAATTATTTTAATTCCTTAAATAAAAATGGAAAAATGACAAAAAAATCCCTTCAAAATATATAAATAACAAGTTGGCCCCTCCAAATACCATAATTTCCTTGAAGTCCTTGGGAACTTCTTTATCATTAATGAATTTATATAAATTTTTAAATTGCCCTTGTTGCAGATAAACGATTCACAAATTTTGTTTAAATATTCACAACTTTTTTTCTTGTACTTGCAACAATGTAATAGCAAATAAGGAATTTAACCTGTGAAGCTGTGATTTGCAGTTGCAATGTTGCGAATATAAGAAGAAAAATTATAAATATTTAAACAAAACTTGTGAATCGTTTATTTTCGACAAAGGCAATTTGGTAATTTATATA